ATCGGGGTTCCATTCCTGGTCAGGGCACGTGCCCGGGTTGCGGGTTTGATCCCCAGTCGGGGGCGTGTAGGAAGCAGCCGATCAATGACTCTCTCATCATTGATGTTTCCATCTTTTTCTCCCTCTCCTTTCCTCTCTCTGAAATTAATAAAGATATATTTTTTTAAAAAAAGAAATATTCTGTCAAATGCCAGTTAAGTGTCTTAAATAGAAATAGAATGCATCCAAATCAGTAGGGGAGAAAAAGTGAAATAATTTTTAAAAATTGATCTGAAAAGGAGAAAAAGGTGGGAAAAAGAGAAAAGTATGACAAAGAGAAATAATAAGATGGCAGAAATAAATCTAAATAACTAGTAATGAGAAAACAAACAGAACGATTAAACTAAGCTGTTAAGAGACATAGTGTTGAAAACAGATTTAATGGGAAAAAAATACAGCTATTGGTTATTTATAAGGGAAAAATAAAACATAACACATATTGATTAAAAGTAAAAGGATAGAAAAAGAATAATCAAATGAAGGCTGAAGTCAAATCTGAAAACTAGTAAGGAGGTAGCACTGTAATGAAATCCAGGCAACTCCTCCGTACTATTTAAAAATGAAGCTGAAATCTTCATTAAAGATCTTGAGACAGGATGCAGGTTCTAAGCGTACAGCAGTTATTTAGTAATGTCTGTCATGGGTATGGGGTCGGGGGAGGAGTGGGCTATGTCATAGATTGAAAACTATTAAAAGAATGTGAATGGCTAACTCCAGATGTTACTAAATCTACTCTTCCAGCTCTAAACATCTTAGGCCCTCATACATGCTTTAAGCTATACTTTTATACCTTGCAATAATATTTAACACAAATACAATTCCCTTAAATATTGAACTCAGAGGAAACAACCATGTAGGTACTGAGGAAAAAACTAGTACGTATACATTTGAGCAGACTATTAAAATTCATCAGAAAACTAAGCTGATCCTTTTATTTTACAGGTAGGTAATGGATGTGAATGGGCATTAAGCCCTAACAACAGACCAGTTGGCCTCAAAGCAAGAAGCTGGGATGGGAGCGGGATAGTGTCAATAGCACATCCATGAAGGACTAGGTTAGGTTGGGCCTGGTCTGTATGTTACAACTCTTGCTTCAACTGCAGTTTTGTAAACTGTAAGTGAACATATTGAAGATAAAGTTCAAAAAAAGGAAAAACACTTAAAACGCACATGTGTTCCTTTCCCCAACCTCCCAAATATCAGACATCTCATCAGGGATTTCTTGTGTATGACTTATTTTTCTTTTCAGTGTAATTTAAAAGTTAAGTTGAAGAAAATACAGTGTTGGTATATATCAAAATACTCTACACAGAGTAAGGGGAAAGCAATATATTTAAATCTCAGAAATGTGGGATAAACAATTAGAAAGGTAAGTTATAAAATCTCTTGTCATCCTAATGAATAAAACCAGTTTTTAGTAGAGTTCTACTGCAGTAATAGTAAATCAAATTATTTAAAATTAGACTATCTGTTTGAATCTTCCTAATCTATTGACTCTGGAAACCTGTGAAATTATGTTGTGATACAATGGGAAGGGATGGCTTGTGAAGCCAGTTCACTGGGTTTGATTTCTAGTTTTGCCCTTTACTAGATATATGGGCAAAACCTCTGAGTTTGTTTCCACATTTGCAAAATGAGAATATCTTCAGAGATGGAAATGCCCTATGGAGTTCACTGTTCAATATGGTAGCCATGTGGCTACCGAACACCTGAAATGTGGGTAGTGTGAGTGAGAAACTCAATTCAAAATTATATTTAATCTAATTAATTTAAAAAGTCACATATGGTTTGTGGCTACCATACTGGACAGTACAACATAAAGCTATGGAAGTGTGTTTCTTTGAAGCTTTAAATCAGGAGTGGGGAACCTTTTTCTGCGAAGGGTCATTTGGATATTTATAACATCATTCGCAAGCCATACAAAATTATCAACTTAAAAATTATCCTGCTATATTCAGTTATATATTTAATTAAATTTATTGAATTTCAAGTCCCGCCTGCAGTTGCCTTGGCAGGGCCAGGCCGGATGACTTAGCAGGTGGTATACAGTCCTCGGGATGGACATTCTCCTGAGATACTGATGGCAACTAGGAGAGGGTATAAAAAAAAACAACCCAGTAAGATAGATTGTCTACAAGCTTATCCCAAGAATCAGTTTACCTGAAATAGTGTAGATAGCCTTTGTGGTCAAATATATCTGGATTTGAATGCCATGTCTGTGTGAGCCAAGAAAATTTACCCAGAATACCGAAACCTCAGACTCTGCATCTGAAGGACAGGAATACCTACTAAACTCAGAGGCATTGTGCAGATGACAAATTAATGGATCCAATGTAGTAGGTGCTCAACAAATCTGGTTTCCTTTCTCCTCCCACATTCACTATTTCTCACATGACCACTTTCCTCACATGCTGGCCGAACTGTTACTAAATTTAATATTGACAAATGTAGTCAATGTCAACTGTTGGCCAACATGTGCATATCCACTAAATTGTCAATATTTAATTTTTTTTTAGAATCTGAACTTTAAAAATGACCAAAAAAGTATCTTCAACATAGAAAAAAGAAAAAATACTCAAAACACTCTTTAACTCTAAAACCATTATTGAAAAATGGGAGTAGATACTGGCTAGGCATAGAAACTAGGCTTTCTGGAGCCCTTAGGTCATTCTTTCAAGCTATTCAGATTCTCAGATAAGGATTGCTGCTTCTGAATTATTTTTGCTACAGAACTGCTTAATTAATTTGAGGACAAAAATAAAAATTAAAACCAAAACAGAACTTATATCTGTTTTATAGTCAGAAATTTGGCTTCAAGACTTTTGCAAAGTGCTACATCTTTTACATATTCCAAGTGCATAAGATGATCCAGCTACCTTTATGGTTCAATAATAAAATATTCCAAATATCTCTATTAGATTGTTGATCAATAAATACCTACAACAAAATAATTGACCATCACTCTTAGGCTGGGAATCGGTAGAAGCTAACCTAAAACTGACTTCTCCGTTGTTATCTGAGGAGTCCCCTCACTGCTCAAGCCACACAAAGGCTATCTACATTACACCTATGACTCTTATCTTAATTTTTAATTTCTGTTGCAGAACATTTGCCGCTGGAGGCTGCCAAACTGTGTCTATGACAGTCTCTCCTAGCTATTTTCAGATAGTGGCAAGGCATAACGTGTGAGGACAAATATGCTTCCTTGCACTAAAACTTTGTTTGCTTCACTGTCAGCTTAGACAAGGGCTACAATGGCAGATCTTTTAGTTGGGTAAGCTCCATATTAAAAATCTAAACCTGAACACAATTTCTAATCACTGAACACACATTTTAATATCAATGGAGGAAAAACTTTAGGTACAAAATACTGTGTAAAGCCTGATTTAAAAAAAAAATTACATACTGTATTTAATTTGGTCTGTGCATCTAAATACTGTACTTTGGCCCTATTTTCTTGTCACACATGCTCTTAAGTAAACAGAAAAAGTATTAACCATTTCAGCTGACATAAGCAATCTGTTTTTCATATTTGTATAACTAGAAGCATATACTTTACAAGCCAAGACTTAGTGTGGTTGAATGCAGACATACACACAAAATTACAAGCAACTAAGTAAAAGTTCAGTACATAAAATCTCCAATTCCTTATCTCTATTCTAATTAGCAAACAACAAACCAAAGCACTTCTAAACTCTTTTTCAGCCACAAAGCACTGAAATCAGAAGTATATATTAGCAAGTGTCAATAAATCTCATGCACCAACAGACTTAATCACAGAGGAAACCAACTTATCTTTAAGACTTGCCAACCCCCTTGACTTTAAGACCTGGATGTACTCTTTTTGAATAACTCACTCTAGGTCTCTAATTTCATTACTAATTTTTTACTGTCACTTTTCTTAAGCTTAGACTTACTACACAACTAGGATGTACAATGCTGCTCAATTTTACGGTACACCAACAGGATCCATGAGTCTGAACTGAAATGTATGCTATAACTGCATAGTAAAAGAAGGGTTTCTACACCAACTACCATACACACACGGTTCTCTGAAAGCAAAGCTCTAAATATGTTTAACTTGCAGAACTGGTGCATGGGGGGTATGAATTTATGGCTTTTTAAAGTTTTTTTCTCCTCTGTGAAAACAGAGTAAGTCATTATTAACGTGTGTTTGAATACCTGCCTTCGTACTACAAAAAAAGAAAAAAAAGAGAGAGAAAACATACCAGACTCACATGCCTGCTGGGTATATGAGCTCCACCCCCAAAACTCTGGGCGAATACCCTTGCTAGTCTTTCTTAAGATCTTCATTCTGGTCTGTCCTCATCCCACATACATTGTTAATCTTGGAAAGCATCTCCATACAAAAACTGGTTTTAAAAAAAAGTCTGAAGTGTTGCTTATATGCCCAGACTTCACAGACTACAGGGTTGGGACTTGGAACTACGTGTACTAAAACGTGGCCTTACGGAGAGTAGTAGTGGGGAAAGGGCGATCAGTGGCAAAAAGAATAAAGAAAGGAAAGCTGTGAATTACAGGGCCTAGACTAGAACTTCAGGCCCCTCCTTTAGAAATCTCCCCTGCCTCCTACCCCCACCCATCCCAGGAGTCAGACAGCTCGGCAAAGCTTGAGGGGCCAGGCGTGACTGGCGACAACCAAAAGGATTTTGAAAAATTCAGTCCCAAAAAAGGCTGCGGAGAGAAATGGGATGGGATTAAAATGAAAGCAGAGAGCTGCATCCTGGGGCAACACTGGGTCCCCGACTTCAGGGGACAAGCTGGAGGTGCCAGCGGCCGGGGGTGTGTGCGGGGTCGGCCGTCCCAGGTGCGGCAGCCAAGGCGCGGAGGTCCAGACTTCGAGAAGGCTGGGCCAAGTAACCCCGGGGCCCAGGGGCCTCCCCATCAAAAGGGGGTAGCGCTGCAGGGGGTTCTCCCCTCCCCTTCCAGGTCCTCCTTACCAGGGCCGTAGAACTTGCTGCCTTTGGTCACGTCGAAGACTTTCCCATTGACCGCGAGCAGGATGCGCGGGGTGCGGGACCCGTCGTATTGGCGCAGCTGCTCCAAGCTGAAGTCGCGCTTCTTCATGCGCGGCAGAGCGGCTGCGGGGCTCTCCTCGCCCGACCCGGCCCCGGCGCCCAGACCCCGCCGCCCCCAGCGCACCCACAGCCGGTAGGCCCCCAGCAGCACCAGCGCCACCAGCGCCACGTTCAGCAGCATCTCCCCGCCCCCCGTCAGAAGCGCCAACGCCGCTGCTGCCCAGCCGCCCCCCTCTGCCTTCGCTCCGGAGCCGCCCGAGCTCCCGCTGCTGCCTTCACTGCTGCTCTCGCTGCCACTCCCCAGGG